GGATGGCGATGGCCCATCGTAGGGGCCTCCATTCTACCGGCGCCCACTTCCAGACGCTTCCCCGTAGTGGTGTCCAGCTCTGAAACCACCTGGCACATAGTTTTTTCCGCGCGCGCCCCGTGCGATGGATCAACGATCCCTCCGGCGGTTGGCCAAGCGTAATCGGCACGGTCGCTTGATCGATCTCGACGCGGCGCAGATGTGGTGGGCCCCTTGGCGGAACGGCCTTTGCGGTGCATCAGTCGGAAGGGTGGATTGGGTCCGGCGTTGCCCTGTGCATGGTTCGCAGGCAGGCAGTGACTGCAAAACGGGGTGTTTGTTATAGGGTTCCCAGCGTCTTGTCCCCGCAGCACACAGCACGGTTACATAACCTTCAAGTCACCCTGTATTTAAACCACCGTCCCCACAAGCACCCAAACCGTCCCCAAAAGCCCTCATTTCAATGCAACAAAATAGCCCAAAAATGGCCAAAATCTCAGAATCGCCTCGTTGCACTCGATCCAGAGCCTCCGCGTGGATAATTGGTCCACGCGCCTTTGCGTCGCATCTCACTCCGCTCGTATAAAGAACCAAAGACATTGTTCACACAACACCATGCTTCAGATAGAAGGGGAAGCTAATTATTCTATTCCAAGCCAGCCACTAATCAAGACAATTAATGATTGTGTCGTAGGCCTGTCGCACCTTGTTCCCGCTAAACTCAAGCATTGTGAGACTTTCCATCTTTATCCAATTTCCAACATCGCTGGACACACCTCTTGGTTTGCATTTGTGAATTGAAGTCGGCAGCACCCAAAGTGTCATTTTCCCCCAGGGAACTTCCAGGAAAAGGTGGGCCGTTCGTTTTCTTGCACAGGCATTGGTAGGACGGTGAATAGATTGTGCTTTCGTTTTGCTCTAAATTAATACTTCAGTGCCCAAGTGCCTAGCAAGAAAGTGCAAGGCAATGTGAAGCCCCAAATTTTGCAAATTTAAACGGTCACAAGAAATAGGAAGAGAATTCTGGCAATCCCGGGTGGGAGCCCTAGTTGATCAGCAATTGTGTTAATCGGGTTTGCCCCTATGCTTGTTCTAATGAATCGTGGCGAGGGCATGGATTGTGATTGCCATACTTTGATATACACAATGCATTGACAACAAGCAATTTACTAGCCAAAAAAATGTTCCATTGAAAACACCCTTTCGTGCAAAATGTCGTTAGTGGATATTACACAAATATAGAAATGGTAATATTGCGAAACTTCAAAACATGTTTTTCTTTGATTTTGAACATGTTTATTGCATTATGGGTCGATTGCACATATTGAACACAATAGTTTTTACAATTTGTATGGAAATCAAGATGTTGCACACGAATTGTGTTATTGGCTCACTAACGACATTTTGCACGAAAGGCTGTTAGAAGCTAAACCCAGCACTTCGGATTGTCACTTGTGAATCGCCATCTATATCCAAAAGATTATATAGCAATGTGTTGTATATGTTGTACGTTTGTCTAAGTGGCTTGACCATCTCACCATTTTGGCTTTTCTCAGAAGGTTAGTATAGCTACAGTGCTACAGTGAGCAAAACGATGGCGTTCCTTTTCATTTGAAGGGGCCAAGGTCGTTGTTTGTCGGCCGCAGGAACAACAGCACCATATATAGAAAAAAATAATTCGCACTATTCACCGTTTTCAGCCCTCGCTCGTTTTGGAGGCGAGCAGGGCTGAATCTTGAACAACTATCTCACCTTCTTGCATTTGATGCACCTTGACAGAAGGGATACAAATTGATTGTGGCAAATGCGTGCAAAATAATGGACGCTATATCGTCTAATTCGCATGCGCCAACGGGTCACAATAACTCAGGAGCTGCGGTTCGCAGTGAACAGACGCTTCACATCAAAGGCACGTTTGTGAGCTGCAGCCACTAGAAGAAAGCCCCCTTAAAAGGCAATGTACTAATTATTCACTGGTAATGCATCGCACCTTCAAGGTGCTACTTTCTACATGTGATTATTCTTCAGCAGAGATGAAGCAAGGGCGGTCAAAATGCATAGAAAGGAATCATGATGCATGCTCGCTAGGCATGGTTCCTGGACGCGGTGGGCTCAGAACCGACGGAGAAGTCGGGTATATTGTGCCAGGGCATTTTGCACATCGCTAGAGGGGTGTGCGTGGAAGCCGTTTCTGCAACAACATTCTTCTGCAGCAGAAGGAGCAGTTCAGATCACAACTTTTGAATCAGCACGCAAGTTACCACAGCAACCGCTGGGCACCACTGGTGGCTCGCCACCATTGATAAAGTTGCACAGACCTGGAGACAAAGCAACGGTACAAGAAACAAGCGTGAGTAGTTGTATGTGTGCGCATGTGTTGAGATGTGCTACTTCCTTGTCTGCTATGCAATCTTGGTATAACTTTGCAGGATCGACTCAAATAGCCATTCTCTCAACAAACTCGCATTCTTTGGTCGATTTATGGCTTGTGTGGGTCTTGATCATATTAATCATCACCATACACCAAGAATATTGACATTCATAGCTTGATAAAATGTGTCCCTGTCCACTTCTGTCGGGGCCTCAGATCCTAGCAGTTTGGTCCTCGCCTTATCCCAATGTTTTCCAACCAATTTCCCCTAAACTCTTGAAGAAACTTGTTGTAGACAGCAAATAAGCATGCTACACCTTTTCAAGACTTTTAGCACAATTGTTTCATACTCTTTGTGGACCATCTCTTCCATTATGCTGAAACGTGTTTCCAAAATTATAAGGTTTCAATGATTGGCTGTGGCGCCCTCAACCTAGGCCGTCTTTTTAGTGGGCACCACAATGCGCAATCTTCCAGACCTCGGTACATCTGCCAAGCTGATGCTTTTGCACAGATCAAGGTGTCTCTTGGCGTTGGGACTCTCAACACTTGCACAGTACTTGTCAGCGCTCCAATCAATTTACGCGCAGAGTCGTTTCCTAATCTGGAGTCATTGTTTTGCTCAACCACAATTTGAAGGGGCAGAGACCGGTTCGTTCGCCCCCTGAAAGCGAGCGGCAGCGCCCCAGCTCCCAAGTGCGCGAACGTTTGCGGCGGAGTTGCGGTCGCGGAGCCTGAATGCCCCACGCGGGGGGCAAGGCCGCCCCGACGGCTGCTTCCACTGCACCGCCCCGATGCCCCGCATGGCGACACGTCGCGCCGGGGTCGTTGGGCCCCAGTCGCCAGGGGCGACGCTGTTCGGCGTCGGGAGGATGGGCCGTCGGCGCCAGCGGTGATCGAGAGGTCACGCTGCTGGATTACGGGGCTGGAAATGTTCGGAGCGTGCGGAATGCGATTCGAAGGCTGGGCTTCGAAGTTAAGGATGTGAGTTGAGGCATTGGCGGCCAGATCGGTCTGGCAAGGAACGGTGTTCGGAGTCCGAATATGTCCGGATGTGAATGCCTGCAGAAAGCGAAGCCGCAATCCCTCTTTGCACTTGCAGAGGCTTTTTTATGGAGCTGAGAGATCGAAACACGCATCGTACGTAGTAGAGTCATGCTTGTGACCAAGTAAACATGTGAGCAAGAAAATGCAAGGACGGAGGGGGAAGTACATGGCATGGGGCGATTATTGTGTTGCTTTGTGGTTTCAGAAAAGGCTCCTGAGGATGCACTGATGTTCAGCTCATGGATGCTGCAGGTGCAGAATGCTCAAGATATTGTAAATGCGCAGCGGCTGATCTTTCCAGGTGTTGGCAGCTTCGGGCATGCGATGGATGTCATCAGGGAAAGGGGCTATGTGGAGCCACTGCGGGAGTACATCGAGGTAAGACTATTCATTCTTACAGTTCCTAAAAAATACTTGCTGAGTGGTATTAGGCATCCGAGTGAAAGTCTCCCAAAAAGCTACACCACATTTGTCAGCAACACTGCTCTATCACAGAAGTTGCAGAGGTGCTCTGAGCATGCGCTTTCAGTTAACCATCCTGCTTTGTCTGTCTTGCACAGTTTTGCGCACTGTATCGGGTAAAGCACTGAGAACCTCATGGAACTGCAGTCTGTCTTTTGAACACCATTAAAAATTTGGTGCAAATTCCAACCGACCTTGCCAAAAAAATGGTGTGAAATGTTTGCATTTTGTGTAGAAGGTTGTGCAGCTGTCTCCAGGTCAATGCAGAACACGTTGCGCACAATAGCTGCCAGTTGTGGAAACAGACAAACAGTGAAAAATTTTGCTGTTGACAGAGATCTAATGGCATTCCTACAGGCGAACCGGCCCTTCTATGGCGTATGCCTTGGGCTGCAGCTGCTGTTTGAAGGCAGTGATGAGAATGGTGGGTGTGAGGGCATGGGGCTCATCCCCGGGTGTATCCAGAAGTTTGACACAGCGATGGGCCTGCCGGTTCCACAGATTGGTTGGAACAACCTGGACCAGCGGCGACCGTCACGCCTGCTGCAGGATGTGGGAGACAGGAGGGTGTACTTTGTGCACTCATACAGGGCTGTCGAGCAGCCAGGGAGCGAGGAATGGGTGCTCGCCACAACAAACTATGGGGAGGACTTCATATCTGTGGGTGGGTTTCATGTCCATGGGATGTGGCTAACTTTTGCATTTGCGCTGATTGTTGTGGTCACAAAGGACGAAAACCGATCAACTGAACTGAAGGGAGCGCAGGACAGCATGAACATTGTTCTTGCTTTGCCTAACCAGCCCCGAGGATGTGTCCATGTGTGGTGGCAATTGTTGTTCTGTCAAGCTGCCATCAATGCCCTTTGCTCCGAATATGCTTGGTCTGTTTTGAGAACTGCCATTGTTTTCCTTGCATTCGGTCCTTCTATATCAGCTTCCCAGGGCTTTGAAGGCAAACTTTCGTGCATTGACAGTTGGTCGTGGGGAGGTCTATGCAAGCCAATTCCACCCTGAGAAGAGTGGCACCACTGGGCTGGGCATCCTCAAGGCTTTTCTCCAACCGGAGGGGGATGTCTATGAGGCATCAACTGCCCCAATGAATGGCCACATGCGGGGCCTGGCAAAGCGCGTGATTGCTTGCCTGGATGTGAGGGCCAATGACAGTGGGGACCTTGTTGTCACCAAGGTGTGGGTCTCACAGGCTATGAAATCCAGCCACCACACTGACTACCAGTGCAGTGCTCTTGTGATACAACATTTTTTGCAGTCCATCGATTTGCATGTGCCTACGTCGGCAAATCACCCCTGGCCGCAGACAACATGGTCGCAGAGGTTTGTGTGCTGTTAAATGTGCTGTTATGGTCGAGGACAAGACCTAAACTTTGAGTAAGTATGCAATGAAGAAGTCAGGCACCCATTTCTGGGTCCACTATGCTCTGCAGGCTCCAGTTAAGTTGAATTGTCCTTTTTTTCTGGATGGCATCCCATGAATGCTTGATAGTGAGCAGGTGCTGTTGGGCCTTCTTGCAGGGTGTAAACTAGCATGAATTGTGTTTGTCAAAAAATTCACAAACCACTGCCATTTCAGCTGTTGGGGATGTCAGGTGCTGCCAACAATCACATCTGCTTGTTGCCAAAGTCCTTGTATGCACGTGTTCCCCAATGCAGGGTGACCAGTACGATGTTCGGGAGAAGGATGAGACCGCTGGGAGACCTGTAAGAAACCTTGGAAAGCCTGTTGACCTTGCAACAAGGTACTTCCAGGAAGGAGCAGATGAGGTCACATTTCTGAACATCACAGGTGATACCTTGACATCTGACTCTCAAAATTCAGAGATACCACGACTGCGACATGACCATAGCATCGAGATGCAAGGCTTTGGACATTTTATTTTCTGACACTTCTGACCCCCTCTCTCTGTGCTCCAACGCAGAAGTCTGTACAACTTGCCCTTTTTGGTTGGAGAAACACAAGCAGCCGATGCATTACAGTGCGAATTTATACCTTCAGTATGATGTGTGCACCCCAACAAGTTAGGGACCAACTGTGTGATATTTTGCACTGCTGCGATACCTGATTTTTTGCAAGTGTCGGAACTTGACCAAGGTGCTTTCCTCCGGGCAGGCATGTGGATGTAGTTGCCACCTTGCCCCCCTTCGCTGTGGCCTGGATGCATTCCTGGCCCAGTACCATCACCACATTGTCCATTGCTGGATCACACTTACCATTCATGGAATCTTGTCAGCTCTGGCCAAGTAATGTTGCAGTGCCATGTTGTGCCTTGACACAGTGCAAGGAGTTGTTTTGCTCTTTAATGTGGCAATTAGCCAGCCTTTATTGCAACCTGCAGCCATCCAGCTGAACAAAGTAGTGAAGAATGACACCAATAAGCGCTCAAAAAGCACGATTTGCCAATTTGTAACTTGAGTTCAATCATTTTACATTAGGTCTATTTCAATCTTCATCTAATTTGTCGTGCACCAACACACGGCTTCCAGCTATTCATCTTGGTACAGGCAAGGAAATAAATTGTGCAAGATGCCCAACTTTTGCCAGTGAACATTGCTTCTCCCTGTCACACTGAGAGTCTCAATGTGCTGTTGCCTATTTCTAATCCACACATAAATCTCTTGGACAGGGTTTCGGGACTTCCCGCTTGCAGACCTCCCAATGCTGGATGTTGTGCAGCGTACATCGGAGGGCGTTTTTGTGCCTCTGACCATTGGCGGGGGCATAAGGGGATTCAAAGATGCAACTGGAAAGGAGTACACTGCTCTGGAGGTGGCTTCTGCATATTTCAGGTGGGATGAACCTCAGCATCGTTCTATAAACAGGCAGATGTTGCTGTTTAGCACCTGGCGGTGCAACCAAAAGTCCTTTCGCCCAGTGTTTTGTTGTCCTTATGGCCTTGATCGGATCCATGGAACATCAATATGTGCACCACGTCCAAGTAGTATTCATGTGGAAATTCATTGCTGTACATGCAGTCCTTTACTCAAATTTCCTTCAAGGCTCTGTGCTCCAGGTTGTGTGCAAAGGTTAGCTTTCTTCGGCTGGAATGACAGTAACTGTGGCAATTGCTGCAACTGCCGTTTCTGCTGTTCATGCATGCTGGAGTGTGAAAAGCACAATCGTTGCCTGGCTGTCTGACTGCTGTTTGTATGTAAAATACATTTTATCCTCTAATCTTGTCCTTTGCAGTAATTTGGCAAGATTGGGGCAACACACAGAGTATCCTGACCTCTGTATATGGATGGTGGATCTTGCTTCCTGGCAGTACAAAACCTCAGGCCACTGACTAGTCTGCCCACAGTGGTGCATTGATTTCAGGGTGGACAGTGTTGGCCTCATGTGCGACATGAGAATTCAGGTCTTGCTCGTTGTGGGGACAGATACAGGAATGGGAGGTGTATGTGGCCCTGCATGTATTTTGCTTACTAGTGAGAAGAACGACCATAGCAGCCAGCATTCAACTCTGACTTTGTGCCATTCCATTGTGTTAGATCGGGAGCTGACAAGGTGTCCATAGGGAGCGACGCTGTCTACATAGTGGAGGACTACCTGAAGACCGGCATCATGCCTGAGGACAGCAGCATACAACAAATCTCAGAGGTGTATGGTGCACAGGCCGTCGTCGTCTCGATTGACCCCAAGAGGGTCTATGTGGCGGACCCAGGGCAGTGTCCCCACAAGTGCTTCCCAACAGCCTTGCCTGGTGTGTGCACATGGTGACCCTGTCTACTTCAATGTTGCAACAACCAGCGGGGCAAGAAGCAGGACGTGAGCTACCCCCTAAGAAATATAATCAACAGCAAAATTCACACCTCAATCCTACCTTTGGCAATGTAAAGGTATGGCATAGCGCCCCAGTAGGAGAAGGTTGGTGCATTGCTATTGGCCTCTGCACACAGCGCGATGTCAAACACTGGTCGATGGCCTGCTCCCCATAAAGTTCACTGCCACCTAGCATCGGAAGTGGTGCTGAAACATCTTGGTAGTGTACTGCACCGTATTGTCATTGTGCCATTGGTGCATTTTATCGTGTAGTTCGTTTTCAATGGATGGATTCAATAGGGTGTTACAATGGGGCATGTGCTCGTTGTATTCCTGTGAGTACCAATGTCATAAGTTCTGGAGCAAAGATGGCAGTCTTGATTGTCTTCTGAATGCGAAGTGCCTGTGGTTCTTAGTTGTACTGATACTGCACAATGCACAGAATATGCGTATAGTACTTCAGGCAGATATAGATGCAGTAAGGAAGGGTAGAAAATTAAATAACTTCAGATATCCATGTTTGATCATTGCATTGTGCTTCGCAGCCCAAAGTAGCCTAACACAATTTTGGCTATTGAGCACAGCACAAATGGGTAACGAAAACGTGCAGTGGGTCATCCACTGCCGGCGAGACCAAGCCTGGAAAATCGAGTGTTATGCCCATGCTTGAGTGGACGGTTCTTCTTGTTCCTTTGATCGAATCGGATTGACCAGACCCACTTACCTACAAGATGACCCGGGACCTGAACCCATCATCAGTGTTTGCACGCAAACTGTTTTTGAGCTTCCTGTGCCTTCCATTGCTGCTTTGTGCAGGGCTCAGCGGTGAACAGTACTGCTGGTGGCAGTGCACAGTGAAGGGAGGCCGCGAGACACGGGATGTGGGGGCAGTTGAGCTTGCCAAGGCCGTGGAGGATCTGGGGGCTGGAGAGATCTTGCTCAACTGCATAGATAGGGATGGCACTGGCGAGGTGAGGGAGGGAGCTGCCTGCATCCTTGGGGAACTGTGCACTTTGAAAGTGAGCCAAATGAGTCGAGCTGACCAATTGAGATGAATGGGCTAAGTGAGTTGCTGATGGTGAAGGATGATATCAGTTGGATAATGCAGCTTGCAATGCAATGCCGTAGAACACAAGGAAATGTGGCACACCGCATGATGGCGACATGGAGATGGAATAGTGCAACGTGTTGGGTCACAGTGACCCGTGTCTCTGTGTCCTGTCCTTTGAACGACTTTGGCTGCGAGGGTGGTCAAGCGTGGTGCCCTAGACGACCACCATGGCCTTCCATCGTTTCGTGGTGAACTTGAGCTTGACGTCGCACGATTGACGTGTCTTCTGTGCAGGGCTTCGACCTCGAGCTCGTCGAGGCTGTGTCCAGTGCTGTCACGATCCCAGTCATCGCCAGCAGCGGCGCAGGCGTTCCGCAGCACTTCACAGAAGTCTTTGCCAAGACGAAGGCAGCAGCGGCGCTTGCCGCCGGAATCTTCCATCGAAAGGAGGTGGAAATCCAGTCGGTGAAGGAAGACATGGCTGGGAGCGGCATCCCAACCAGGCTGTGAGGCAGTAGGACTTGTTGCTGTGTGTGTAGAAGAGTTTAGTCATGAGTGTAGGGCAGGGATTCTGTCAGCCACGGGTGGCCGTGGATTTTTTTGCACTGCGGAGTGGCGTTGGGTTCCTGTGTGTCAACAGAATGCAGGAAAGGACGGCGTTCAGTGACGTTCAAGATCTTGTGTGAAATTCGATTGGCCATTTGGAAATTCCTTGGTGTGCGTTGGAACGGCGAAGTGGTGTTTGTAGTCGTGGGTCGTTGCGCGCCACCAAAACTTGAGTTTGAACCGTGCCTCTATTTCTCTTTTTGCAGCACCATAGTCGCCCACCCTTGCTACATGCATTTGCGGTGCCAGGAAATGGGCGCATCATCCCAGCTTCACAACAATCCACCACTGAGAACAGTCCGACGCTTCAGCAGCCGTAGCTTGGCATCAAAGAAGGTTCCTCTGTGGGGCACTTTCAGGTGGCGCCCTGACCCCATGAGGACAGCAAGCGTTGATTTGCGGCTGCCCATCACCATTAGAAATGGAGCTGGAGAACTGGAGCTGCCAGGCTTTGACGGAATTTCCAAGACAGGCAGATTTGTGCCCTAACGTGATCATATTGTGGCAGATGCATCAGTTGGGCACGGGCAAGAAAACACAATGTCCTATAGTGCACGCCCCAAAGGCGAAGAGTGGCAATTCCAGAAATACAACATGTCGATACCCTCTGTCACTAGAACCACTTCAAGAATCATAATTTCTGCGAGTCGTGGTACTCGCCCGCCGCCACAAGGCTGAGGCACACGGATTCAGCAGAGCACACATTGGAACCAAGCACAAACGAATACAGGGATCGCGCCCAACCGCCTTCCGCCAACGTGCTGTCTCACTCCGCCAGAGAGATGCTGTCAAGCCAGCGTATCACCTGGATCTCATTACCGCAAATTGCACTTGTTCGGTTTTGCTTGATTTATCGCGAAATGAAGAAGAATTGCTGCGCGCAGGCCGAGCGGATGTCAAATTTTCAGCGGTGGAACGAGAATGGGAAATCTGTTGTAGCTGCTTATTGCCTTAATGTGCAGTTGCGTTGTCGAACTACTGTCTGTGCGGTGGAGGTATAGTAGCCAGATCTGGGGATCCAATCTTGTGGAGAGAAGCAAAATAACAAGTCTAATGTGCAAGCCGCACATTCTGGGGCGTGATCAATGTGTATTGCAAATGTCGGTAACCGAAACCCAAAACGCCTTATCAACAGCTTCGAAATGGGCTGTCAGCAGCGAACGTCGGCAGCGTCTGTGAGTAGGCATGTTTCTGTGTATCGGCATATCAGACTAACGCAAGTGATTCGCTGAACATCGCCATCCAAAGCACCGGTAAGCCCAGGCAAGGAGACCGGGCAACTACAACCACACAGAGACTTAGCATTATCATATTCGTCAGGCAGCTGCTACTGAGTCATCTGGTTAAAGCACGCATCGCAGTCAAATGTCAACATTCTTCTGATACCGATTCGGTCACGATCTGCAATTTGAGTCCACCTGCACAAATCACTGAACACCTCTACCCCCATAACTACCGCCCTGTCCGCGGACGCCACCACCTTACTATATCGACAAACAATCCATGATTATCCATGCGCACTGACGTGGTGCATTTTTTCGGCAACCAAAGCAGTGTTTCACAGCCTCCCCAGGACTATTAATTCATAAATAATCTGATCCTCATCAGCTGTCGATTTTAGCTGCATGCAAAATTGCCCCACTTGCGCAGAACTCCCTCTTCGAGTGCTGGATTGCGACAAAACAACAAAAGCCGGTCGCTCAAATCGGCCAGCGTTGCTGGTGGTCACGCGCTATGGCCCACGTTCCGACCACAGGACAAAGTCAGCCATTGCAAAACTCGAACCAACGTACCTCCCTAGAATAAATAGCTCCGATTTGCTCATTGTTTTCCGCCCTCCTGATCTGCCGACTACTTCCTCGATCAGCCCCGGCCTGCCAACGCCGAGGAGCGCATGCGTCGGAATGCGTTCCTACCTCGGATACCCATTTTCTTTCTCAGTCGTGCTTGGGACCAACCACGAGGCTAGTAGCTGCCACGTAGGCGGCCATCAGTTGAGAGAGCATGAGTGCCCAGCCTCCCCACTTCATGGACTGATAGTGCGAGACTTCTGAGAGGCAGTGCACCGGGAGGTCGGACAACGACGCCATGAGGGATTTCTCAAAGGCCTGCCTGTCTTTGGTGGCGCTCGCCTTATTCATCTCGGACATTTTTGCCTGCGGGGTGGACGGATGATGCCATTTTCAGTGATCTGGGATGGCGGAACTTTGCCAAGAGGACTTTGGACCCCAGAGAAACCCATTACTTCACTGCAGCAGACTACTGGGCTGCACGATTGGAAGGATCGTGCCTTCCCACAAGCGCGCTTCCTCACAAGGGCTCCTATTCCCGCCAAGAGTACCAGCAGGTCAATTTCAGACACGCTTGATGCGATGTTACTGGAATTTCTGAATGAATGACGTTCATTTACTGTGGTCCCAGAAACATGGACGAGGCAAAGTTCATGCACTGCATAGTCTGAGCAAGAAGATAGAAGAATAAAAGGGCACAGGCTCAAGGGCGAAGCACCGAAAATTCGTGCGCTCCCCTAAATCTTTCCCCAAAACAGCGTTGGCAGCGTGCGGCCTGCTGGCCTGCTGAACAGTGGCTGTGAAATGCGGCGCTCTTTGCACAGTGGCAAAGGGCGCTCAACAGGTCGCTCAGAGTGGTCGCCGTTGGTGCCAGTGGTGGCCAAACTCCGGCTGGCTGAACGCATCCTGATGGCGCCCCGTGGCCACAGCTACAAAATGCCAGGGTGGCCGGCAAAGAAATGGATGCAGAGTGCACAGCAGCGCCGGGGGCCCAGTTTGCCGTCCCCTTCTTCACCCAAGAAGGCAAAGGCGGGCAGTTGGAATAAGCGGACACCACTTCTGAGAGATCCACCATAATTTCGCGAGATGCAGCGAAGTTTCTGGCGTGCAGGTTTTGGCGCACAGTCGAATGTTCAAACCTATGCATACGAAGCATGAGCTCCAAAAAAGTATTTTCTATGTGGTCCTGCTTTTCTGAGTCCGCAGCGTCAATCCCACTCATAGCACCAAGCTTTGTAGTCAATCACAACCCAAGCACTTAAAACCATCCATTTTTCTTCATCAATTTTGCGTTGCTATCAAAACCTGTGTACAATTTTACTTCCAGGGCGCATGAACAAACAACGACTGTTGCAAAACCAGCTTGTGAATCTTGCGTGACACACGTGCACCATGATTCTCACCTCAAACAACTTCCTGGCTTCTTCTTTCTCGAAGAATATCTTGTCCATATCCGCCCATTTGTTAGTCAGGTCCAATTCGTGGTACTCATCCTTTTCCGTGCGCTCAAATGAAGCTTTGACGTGTGGCAAATGCTCCTGCTCTGCTTTCATGGTCAGCTTGTCGGGGTGCCCGTCCTTCAGAGCGTTGTAGAGCATCTGCAACACTCCAACTTGACATGTTGAAGCTCACCCGCCCACATTGAATGGATACAAACGCGCACCCACTGAGGCAGCTTTCTGGTTATCTGTTGCATCAGTGCCATGGGGATTGATATTGTCGCAACGATTGGAAACGGCTGAGGATTGGCTCTCATTGCTACCCATCCTCGTGATGGAATACCAACTCATTGGTGCATGGCAGCCACAATGAGCATGTGCATGTGCACGTCAACATGTACTGACAGCAGCCGGTGTAGCCAGGACTCGCGCCAACTCGCGACATCCAAATTGAAGCAAAGCCAAACAACAACGAACATCTGCACGGATCGAAATCTCCACCGGATGACATCACCAACACCCATCACACCTCGTACTCTCCATACGTCAGCCCTTCCCCGCTCTTCTTTTTGTGCGACAGATGCTCCAAGACCTTCTCGACGTTATTCAGGTGGCCCTCCAGCACTGTGCGCGCCATCTTCTGTTCCGCTATCTTCTGCGGGTCGCCCTTGTGCTCCTCCTCCAGCGCCTTGGCCTTTGCGTAGACGTGTTCCATCACCGCTTCCGCATGGTGATGCAGTGACGCGACTTTGCCCTCGATGTACTCTCTGTCCTGAAATCCACGGTGGGGCAGGCAGGACGTCAGCACGGAGACTTGCAAATTTGCATACGTGTTGAATCCGGACTGAACAAATTTCACGGCAGTGATATCAATGTCTAGAGGACTAGATACCGTTATTCGCACATGGAAATTTTGGGTGTTCAGTGTGCTGCTGATAAGAAAGAGTTTTTTACGCCAAAGAACGCAAGGCAAGCCTGTATGCATTTTTGCTGAACTCCATTAATCAGCTACTTTGGACTCTTTACCATCTGTATCATCCATCAGCTAATAATGTTATTAGCAACAACCTTTCAGAGTCAAAAGAGTACATGACTCGTTGCTTTGACGTTGCTCTTACCTTGGCTGATATAGTGTTCAGTGTAGGCAAACTGAGCACAGTCAATAAATCGATTGGAAGACGCACGACTTGCTTCCATTCTCCAGAGCAAAATCGTGTCAAGTCGAGTCAAATCGCTGAGATGAATTGAACACATAAATGTGGTCAGTTCATCTCTGGCACATACAGGCGTCTTTCATAACCGGCTGCACGGCATTCATCCTCATAAAAAGAGGGTCTCATTGACGCCATTAGCCCTCTTGCACGCTTTCATCCTTACATTCCGTTCGAACAGCTTGTATGGATGGAATTTTGCAACAGGGCCACTTGCGCCAATGTAGCCCTCTTCTTCTGAGGAAGAATGCCATGCAAGCGGTCGTGGAAGACGCTTTTAGTCGCCAGAGAAGGTACGGACGCAAAAATTATCCCGATTTTGCCATTATCCCGATTTCCGCAGGAAAACTTTGCATATCCTGGACACGCATAGCCAGGATATCGCCACATCCCGGGATGTGAACGTCCGCTTACTGGAACATCGGCATGCCCTCGCTATAAAACAGGATATGGGCAACCATCCTGTGAATGGAGCGTCTGTGTCCAAGATACGGCCATATCCTGGACATGCGTTCCCGGGATATGGCGCCGATGTCCTATGCAATGTCCAGGATACGGGGTTCCCCATGTCCTGCTCCATGTCCAGTATATGAGAATTCTTATCGACGTTAAGACGCTCAAGAGGTCACTTTAGCCCCTCAGAAGTGACCCCGCAATTGTGCGCGCGTCCTATGGACGCTCCCGGTGTCATGGAAGCTCTGTTTAGCGCTCAGGAGGGTGAACAAACTCCCCTCACGAACAACCTCTCGGGGCAACCTGGGAACCCCTTTTCCCTCAGTGTTGTGCTGCCTCGTACTCCACGCAATAAACTATGCAGAACCAGCCACAAATTTTCTCAACATTGCTGGAGTGTAGAAATCTAAGAGTAGCGGACAGCCTTACCCGTTTCTTGAGGTCCTCCTGAGCGGCCCGCATCTCAGTTAGGTGCACGGTACCCTCAGACACCATGTCCATCATGTCGTCCAGCTCGTTCAGCCGCGCAAACAGCTGTTCAACGACGTGCTCCTTGTTCATGGATACCACCGACTCCTCCAAATGTGCCAGTCGGACGTATGACTCTGCGAAGTTGCAGTGCACCTCCATGTCGCGGCCGACCTGAAAAGCTCCCTTGGTCAGTTGCTGCTTCCCAATCGCCAAATGGCATCCTATTTACACGATCTTTGTTGTTTAGCACTGTGTCTTCTGCCATTACACTGCAATGTCCGTATGTGCCCATGTGGCTTTTTACGTCATTTGTCGTTATTTATTTGGGCATAAATTCCCTTCAGGACTAAAGTGCTACAAGGCCTCAAATAGGCTGCTATTTAAGTCCTGCATGAGTCCATGGAGCAAAAGGATGATGCGGCAAACTCTTTCTATCACCTTAAGCAAGTCCACATTGGCTTTTCACAAAATGTAGTAGCAAAATTTGAACGCCGTTTAGGCCTGGGCAGGGACAGACTCTATAATTGGTAATTGTCAATAGATATACTTTGGAGCTTTCATACTTTGTCCTTTTTTATCACGACACTTATTTGTTTGTTGCATTTCTATATTTGAGCCTTCACACATTATTTTTGGCACGGGCTTGCGGCTTTCCTCTGTTCCTACTTGACCAAGGTTCAAATGTTAGTGGGTATTTTGGTGACAGGGCACAGCTCTGGCTGCTTGTTCATGTGAATTGGCTTCAACTGCAAAGGAGATATTCCACAATCTGCAAATACGCCACTGGACACCAGTGAAGGTCGCATCCCTGTGCATTATTACACTTGTATTGCTTTCAGAGGGTGGTCTATCCACCTCATCTAGAGCACCGTGGGGCATTTTATATCGCACACATCTGGTTGCATTTCTTGCAGCAACTGGTCGGCACGAGCTTTGGAACATGGGCAAGAGAAGCCAGAGTTGTGTTGTTTGCGACTGACGGGTATTCCCAATGGTCCGGCTAACTACTGTCTACAATAGTTGTGCCAGAATAACGCACCTGTCCAACAAATTCGAACGTCAGAAGAGCCATGCACCCCATCCCTACAATGAACAAAGTTTGAAACTGGGGCTTCTGATTCGCCATTCCAAGGAGACCAATGGCACCAATCAGCAACGAAGCACCGCCAATAACCTAGCAGCAAAGCAATACACAAGTCAATCGATCAAATGAAACGTCGATAAATGGTTGATTTTTGGGGCCAATAACCAAAGCCACAATACGTGATCTTGAGATATCAAAACACATGCTGCATGCACACTGCCGCCAACTGCACGTCCATTTGACCATCTACAAGAACGTGACGAAATACCTGCTGTTCGCCTACTTCGTGATTTTTGAATTCCCATCCACTCAATGGAATGACATTTCGCACAATCTCGGGATTGCCATGAATTGCACCTGCTGCTTGCTTAATACTGATGGGATCTCTGCTCACACAGCGTTTGGGGCTGATATGAATTCCTACAAGCTGCGGCAGCGTAAATAACATCATTGCAGCTTGACAAATGGCCACTGGGACCCCTGCTGCCCTGCTCATCCACAGTGGATTCACACCCCATCCATTCATTTCAGCACATAACGAAACATCCAGGTTTTTGATGAATATGCACACACAGCTTCGACTGTTAGATAACCACAGCGTTGCTTGCGACTCACTCAGCAAAATCACGATCGTAGACACAAGATGCCCATCCATAAGAAAATGCACTTCTGGGACAAGAATGTGTTTTTGCAGATTCTGTGGGATTCCACAATCATGGATGGCACCAGCAACAGCACCACCCCCCACATCAGCTGCTTTCATTGCAGCTGAAACTGCTAGCTAGCAGTTTAAAGGAATGTATTTTGTCCACAAAACTTGTGTCACTGAAATAGCTGACATCACCGAGCAGCTAAAATGCAAATTCCATACTCATCGCGTGTGCAGATCTCGGGGCTGTTCACCAGCAAGAAAAAGGACCAGCACAAGTTAACAAACGACCAAATAACGCTTACTGCGAACCCACATATGTGCGTTTCATCAGTGTTCTGCATGCTAAGAACACGACAATAACACAGACCCGTAAACTTTGTACACGTTCGAACACGTGTTATTTGGCCCTTTTTTCCTAGTGCAGACAACGCTTTTTCTGCGAGCACATACATATGTGTATCATCAGAGTTCTGCATGCTGAAAAGATGAAAACAACCCAAACCTGTATATTCTGTGCACGATTGAACACGTGTTATTTGGCCATTTTTCCTCCTAGTGGATCCGCATTGTGGCAACATTATATGCATGCTGTGCATTTCAATTACCCAAATAAAACATCAAACACAACCACCACAACATCTAAGCTCATAGACTAGATACCAGGCATGCATCCTTTGCAGCATGCGTAAACTTCAACCATTCATCATCACATCCCAGTGCGACAATGTGCTTTTTGTTTTGCACTCTTCATGCCACGATTGAACCTCGATCATACAAGACTACGGACACCATCGATTTGAAAACATTGCTGCAGCGCATTACGCACATTGCATTAAGAAAACAGAACAAAAAGAAATAATCAACATTTTACCAGTGTCTCACATTCTCTCTCTCTGCTCTTCACATGCTACACTGTTGCAGAAGGTAGCAACCAGATACCCCATTAACTTGCCTGCCCCGAAGTCTTCCCTGCAGCAGTGAGGTACCATGATGCTGTTGCAAATAACAAAACTCCAAAAATCTGTGTATTACACAACAGAAGTCAGCACACCCACTTCCCGTCCTCCTTGCTTCTCTTCACAGAGTTCGACTTGGGGTTTAATGCAATATTCACACTGTATTAGCTACTCATACATGTACCATGCCTCTTGCTGTTGTGCCTTTTCAAATTTGGGGCGCCTTGCTGTTGCATGTGTTTCTTCAGCTGGAGCAGCGGGGATAATATATCAGCAACATCTACACCCTTATGCCAGCATGCAAGCTGCGGCATTTACTGTATTATGCGCGTTGACTGTGGCTATCTGATCAAAGCTCAAACGGATTAGTTCAGCTTTCATCCTCCAACAGCTCCCCCTACAACTGGGCAATAGTAGCGTTCAGAATTCCAACGACTTGAATTTGAGACTCACATTTTCTGATACGATTGCATTGCAGTGAAGCGTAACTAGCAAGAGCATCATGAGTCATAAAAGTCCTGCATCCAATACCGGAATTCTGCAAGTCAATTTGACACTCCATCAGTTATAGTTGACTAAGGGTAGCGATGGATTCGACCAGGAATCCATTTATCCGTATGTTCCTTCCATAATGTTTTAATTTCATATCCCTCTGCTTTTCGAACTCCGTTCATATATCACACTCGTCACTCACCATCTGAGCTATGCATGAGATCTGACTAAGTCCATTCCAGGAGGCATTGAGCCGGACACCAATTTCGCCATTTTTGGCACCTGCACGCACAAATATTGGACATGTCTTACAATAATGCCAAATACCAATGGCTCGGCACTGAAATGACCCACGTGGCATTCTCTGATCCGTATGCATTTAACTGAGCAACATGACCCTTCAATGATCAAGTTCACATTCATAATTAGCCAATTGAGAGTGGAAAGGTGTGAACATTACCTCATCCAAATGGATTCTCGTGAATTCGGAGTTTCATTGTGTGTTGAATGACAGTATACTCCATCAATGCTCAAATGGAGTTCTGTTCAATCATAATTGGATCGAATAGAACTTCCCAGAAATTTTATCAACATTCCTTGATCGAAATTTGTCTTTCCTTCATGGTCGCCTGTGACTTTCTTGGTTCCTTCAGAGTGCATAACAAGTGAATACGGAAGTCAGCATTGTGATTGGTGGAATTGTGCGCCATCCACCATCACATTTGATGCAGAAGCTCTGATTTGTCCATTGGGATGAAGCTGTGCCCGAAAATTCAAAGGAACACTGAATCAGTAATAATTTGCTGCCACTACAAATGTGTTTCCCTGTACCCTTGGCATGACACCACGCACAACGAACATTGCGCCGGTTCATGAATGGGGCTGTCACCTTCAAGATCGAAGCTGCTTGCACCCACCTACAACTTAATTCCACCACCAACAACCAACGAGACGCGCCCGGGACCATACGATTGCATGGACCAATCGCGATTGAACCACTGCCACGGCTCCTCATGAAGGACCCCAATCAAATTAACCAACCAGCCTGATTCCCCCTGTCTGTCGTGGTCGACTCTGGGAAAACGCATCCAACCACGCAGCGGCTGCCAATCGGCTGCCAGCGCCTCCGCTTGGCACCGCAGCTGCGCCAGGTGCACCAAATCCCCTGACGGATCTCTGTCCGCTCCCTATCGCCACGGCGCATGCATCACGTGCCACACCGCCCGCAGACCTCCCTCCCTCACGTTCCCCCCATCTATCGGCGCACCTGCGCCACACGATGACGCACAGTGCAGCGAACATCCCCCCATGTCCCCCCGTCTTGCATGCGATCGCGCCCCGTGGATCGCGCGCTCACCTCCCCTCCGCGGCGTCTCGAAGCCCGTCTGCAGGCCCCAAGAGCCGATGCGGCGGTGCATGCCGCCCCGCGCCCCTCAAAAAGGCGCCTGCGCGCCGGCCCTCAGTCCGCCCACCGCCGACGTGGCAAGCTCCGAGTCCAATCCTTCGAGCGCTTCGGAGCCCCAGAGTTTGGCCGAGGCGCTGGCCGCCGCGGGCCTGTCGATGGGCGGGCGCCCAGTCGGAGGTGGGAGGTGTTGATACGGTGGCGACGCCGGAGCGGAGGGCGGAGGGGTGGCGAGGGCCGACGCCGTCTTGTTCTTGGGGGTGGGCAATTTGGCTGTCACGTCACAAGGGGCCGGGGCCCCGGGGGCGATGTGACCCGCAACCCGGCGCGCCCCAGGCAGAATGGGTTTGGGACTGTTCGACACGGCGAGACAATGGGTGCCTTGGGCACCGTCATCATCATAGTAATTCATTTGTGCATTGACGAAGGTAGGGAGGGTCGAGGGGTGGCGACGCCTGACTGGGAACCGCGGGCTCGTGTACACGGCAACGGCTTACAGGGGGGCAAAGGGGCAACAGGAGTTCCGTCCCTTATAGCCAGTCATGACCGATCAGTTCATTAATGTCCTTGATGCAATTCCTAAGGCCTCACCATTTATACGTCCGGCTGTCAACAATAGTCGAACAGCTCCAGTTACAACAACATTAAAAGGCAATGAGGGAGCCGTTTTTCTATTTTGACCACCGTCTCGACGAGCGCTGGTTCACAACGAGTGTCAACCAAGGTGCCAGCGTCTTTAAAGAAATATCTTCTGATTCCAAGATCAATGCATTTGTGTTGTTTGATTGGTTGATAGGGTTTCATCTTCGAGCAGTGGAATTGAGGGGAAAGCGCATGTGCGACCGTCTCTCCTCTTCCTCTGCGATGCTCATGCCTCATTCCTAGAAATGAGGCAGGGACATTGCAGAATTCTGCACTGTTAGACCAGCACGTCAGGACGGGGGGCTGACTATAGGTGAGTAAGGGAGCACCAGAAAAGAAACATAGCCAGCTAGGCGGTGCTCAAAGAATCTTTGTTTGGGCGCCGGAAATGTTTCAGTTTTCCATGAGCGAGCGCCGGCATTGGAAACTCCGACGGGCGGATCCCTGAAGGCCTTGGGGCCTCTATGTCCAGGCATGACTTTAACTTGAGCCATGGCAGCGACGTTTCCTGCGAACCCACCCAAAGAAAGTAAGGGACCGTTGGATGCCGCGCTCGCATAATCCACCCTGAAATATGGATGGAGGGCAGGACCAAAAGCACAACAAAATGGGCACGCCGAAGGACCACCGGAACCTAAGCTGACGCAACCTCGGTGCGGGAGTCCTGACCCTCCCGGCATGGGAGTCACAGTCTGAGGACGTCTTGGAAATTTCAACCTACTCCTCACAACGACTTGTTTGCTCAAACCAGTACGATCGACATGGCGCCTCCCTGCTTTCAAAGGCTTCTAACCACACCCAGATGTCGGAAACATTGTCTCACTCAAACATGTGGTGGGTGTCAACCACAGATTTGACATGGTTGTGTACTATGCGCTAGTCTCTGGTAACGCTGATATCTATTTGATATACTACGGTAACATCAACTGGATGCCCCAGCGCAGCATACACTTAGCTGGCGCGAGCTGTGAAAACGGTGGGTGTGAGGGCGACACACGGACGAATTCCTATCGACTGCGCCCCGCGATCCCTCCACGTTGCCAATCTGGGTATGATAGCTCCATCAGATGTGACTGGCTGCTGTCCCATAAGGGTTTGCGATTGCTGGGCAAGCTGGCAGCTCCCACCGCATCGCTGGGTTGGGTGTCGCTCAACCCGACAGGTTCACACTGTGCCTGTGGCCTAATGCACACAAAGTCAGCAGCCAGGCACACGCAGCTTCTTGGCATCTTGAGTCATTTTTCTGTGGCGCCATCCAAATGGAAATTGGACCGACGCTAACACAGCCGTGCACAACAGCCAAACAAATGTGCAATAAGAACGTTTACTTGGTTTGTTTGTGGTCCTCAGCATCGACTGCTGAAGTTGCTGTGAACCGGTTGCCTTTCAAGCATGCGATGGTGTGACCCTGACCGATTGCGGCGTGGTCGCTTCTCTGCTTTTTTGCACACCCTGGCTCATCCTGAAATCGTGCGGAATCTGGTCCCAAAAGGTGTGCCCCGTTCTTGCCAGCACCCCGACATCAGTGATCGCTTGTTCCGCCCCCGATGAGTGGACTGTCGAGGTGAATGGCCACAAGGACGGCGTAGCTCGACTGTTGAGCAGAAAGCGAGTGGTAATTTCACCATTCCAATTCACTCGAGTACGGGAAAGAGATTTGCACGGTGGAATGTTTCCATGCCCAGCTGTGTGTGGGTCCATAAGTGCTATGGGTCGCTGACATTTGGGCCACAGCCGTTTCCTGTGTAATGGCACCGGCGTGTGGGTCAACAGATTGGTACATTGCCCACTAATTTGTTGATCAACTGTCAGCTTTCAACAGCGACTTCAATCTTGCATCTGGCGTGGACACCTCGCTCTTGAGTCTTGCTGTCGAAAGTGCCTCGATCTCCCAGCCCAGGGTCATTTGTTACAAAATGATCTGGTACAAATGACATTCTCAAAGTGTAGGAACAGTCTAACTCATTCGCGATCTCCGCACACTGCTCCCGCTGCTCGTACAACGTCGTCAACAGCGTGCAACGCACGCTGTCTAAATCTGGCCGCCGAGCCACGTGGCTCGCAACCTAGGAAACACCGCCTTAAGGGCACGTCATTTTCAACCTATGCGCCAACGTTATCGGCAAGCAGGCAAGCAAGCCCCCTTTCCTACGCACTGCATCCACCCGATCATGTCCCCGCCCTCCCCTACTTGCGTGGAAGGGCGTTGTCAAGGGTGTCGCAAGGGCGTTGTCCTGCCCTACCGAGGCAATTTCGACCAACAAGCACTACAACAGACAAACCACAAAACAGCGAAGACGAACAAGCCCTCGGCCCCCTGGGGCCCCCGGGCCTCAAGCCGCGAGCTCCGCCTCCAGCGCAGCGAGCTCTTCTTCCACCTGGTTGGTTGCCTTTGCCGGCGCTGCGGCCGCCCCCACGGGGGCCGCCGGCAGCCCGGCCGCGTACTCCGAAGTGGACGCCTCGGCCGCAGGGGCCTGGGCCGCGGGCACGTGTGCCGGCGCCATGAGCTCCTCGTCCAGCAGCTCGGCTTCCAAGCCGTCCAACTCGCCCAAAAGCTCGTCGTCGTCGAGCTCATTCATCATGCCGGTGGGCTGTGCCAGCGCCTCCTGGACCTGCGCGATGAAACGGGCAAAAGGTTCAGCGACGTGAGGGACCAAAAAAACAACGCACCCAAAGGATTCTGGAAAACGTCGAAAAGGGAGTTGCAAAAGAAGGATGAATTCCTGACACCAATGGCACCTGTCCCTGAGCAGTCCCATGTCGGAGCCCATTCACAGGAAATGAGATATAGGGCTACATCTTCCATCTGTTCCACCATGTAGTGCTCCGTTCAATTCAGCCATCGAGGACGAAAGGTGGCGTATCGCAAAAAGGTGGATTTGACAGTACACTGAAATCCCACAAACCGATTGCTGCGCTGCATGCCTGCTTTCACGATTGCAATCGATTGCTGCCACCACATTGAGGTCTCGAAGCGCCAGTACATTCATTTGCCATGACTGGTAGCCATTAATGTTTGGATCTTTACTCCACTTCATACAATCCGTGGGTGCGGGACTCGGAACATCCAGCTGCGCTGGAAACGGCCCCCCGACCTGCGCCATCTCGTCGTTCTGGTCTTGGATCTTGCTGACCAGGTCATCCACGTCGTTGATGTCCAGCTCCTGCATCGTCTGCTTGGCGGCGGTGGCGGCAGTGTGCATGGACTTCAGCACGTCTGCTGTCGTGCTCTGGCCCTCTAGCATCAGCTTTTGCTCGTTGAGGCGCAGGATGAGGTTGTTGGTTTGTTCCAGCTGGAGAGAAGACATCCAAACCGCTTCAGGCAGGGTCGCGTTCAGGCCCCATTCGGGGAATGAGACTCCAAGTTGTGCACAGCACCAACGACACACCAGGACAGGACGAATGCATAACATGCTTAGGCGATGGAAATCAAGACCATCCAAGCACTAACAGTGATCGCAAATAGAAATGCAGTTAATGTGCACAATCGAACCAATGCACATGCTGTCTCGTTGCTTTGGTGTCATTGCTGCCGTCAGCACTGCAAAGCACGCAGTGATGCAAAGAAGAAAAGGCCCAATATATTCCTGCCAGGTGGGAAGTGCTCCAGGTGTCTTGGGGTCTTAAATATAATTCAACACTTGCATGCTGGATATGTCTTGTTCGCTTCCACTATTCCATGTGGTTTCAGTTGGACAGTGACGTCTCTGTTGGTGGATGGCATTCCAGCATGTGTGTTGAGATACAGCATTATCAACAAAGATGAAAAAATGATGCTGTTTACCGATGGAACGCAATGCGATCTAATGTATGACGACAACAACAACGACACACTGAACACCCACCTGGGCTTCATACATTTTCTTCTTTTTCAGAGCTGTGAGCGCCTGGCTCTTTTTCTTTTGTTGGGAGTACTCCTTGGCTCTCTGCAGTTCTTCTCCCATCTTCTTCTCCTGTCATAATGTAAACAGCAAATCAGCACTTCAACACTGTATCCAGTGCGCACCAAATCCAACACAATAATGGTGTCCTAATATCACTCTTTGATGACCTTTGCATGCTTAAATAGGCACTGCAAAATGGGCTTTCAAGGCGTGATGATCCACAGTGTACAACCATGATTTGTGAAGGGCTGAGTGATCTATTGTACAGGCCTCAGATTGCTGCACAAGGATTGCCACCATCTATTCCCCTCCCAATAAACTAACACCAGAGCCAAAAGCGCCCGCATAGTTTGGGAACAACAAACACTTTGGATGTGCACATGCTGGTCATCTCCTGCAAGGTGCAATGGACCTGTCTTGTGAAGGCCAATGCAACGATGGGAACACAGACTGTGAACTTCCTAAGAGAAAATAAAAACGAAAGGGTACTTGACACACGCAGAACCCGCTGCAGCATGCTGTCCAAGGGTTCTGGGCCATAGGTACACCTTGATGCTGCCAGATGCAGCCAAAATTATCCACAGTGATGGTAACGCACCAACAGTGCCCTCTTCTTTTCTAGCCTTTCCTCATTTTCATTCAGGTCACCAATCGCGTTGATGGTCTTCTCGGCTGCGGCTTTGGTCTTTTTAGTTTCTTCAAATGGTGGCTTGGAGGAACTGCCCCCCTTAATGCCCAGCATCTTTCGAAATCCCATGGCTGTGCTGTGCTTTCAGGTGTTGCGCGTCTCACGTACACACACAGCCCTACAAGGAGCAATACCCAACAATGAGAATGTGCATACAGAGTGAACAAATGCAGCTGCTCACACACACTGTCACCACTTCGCCTCAGCGCCAGACCTCACCAACAACACACGCGGTGTACAGGTGGCAAAATTCCCAGTAAGCCAGCAGCCCAAAACCAGACTGTTGCAGCTGCAAAAGCTGCCATGGTGCACACCTGCCCCTGTCCAAAGCAAGCTCGTCACCTAATGGGCCTGTTGTAAAGGCAGTTGGGTGCAAGCTTTCAGCACCTCTTGTTGTCCCCAGGACAAGGCTACTGCTGAAAGACACAAGCACATGGACTGGAGGTTCTGGTGATGGGGTGGGGCGCCTGTGTGATAGTAGGAACCCATGTTCTGAGCAGGCGATGTTGGGTGCTGTTAACAAGTTTCCCAAAGTATCCATTTTCCTCCATTACCACTTCCCAGCTGCAGCAGGCCCAAAACCACCAACAGGCACCCAGCAACCCATCCTCAAGTGCATGCCTGATTTTCAGGGCAGCCACAAAATTTACAAGAACTCGTGTGCATGCCCACAACCTCTTCACAGCCAAGTTGCCTCAGCTGGGGCAGCAGTGATGGCAGCACAAGGCGGGTCAGAGACAACAACGGCCTACCCCAGGAACCAGGGAAGCAGATCTGCTTCTGTTTGCAGGCTACAGCCACACGACAGGATGGAAAAGATGCTCGTCAAGTGCCCTTGGTGATTGCAGGTTCAGGTAGCCTGGTGGGCCAGGGCAACCCCGATTTGGGCTGTCGACATTTTGCTGGCCAGCCGTGCATGTAGACGGCTGGCGTTAAGTGGCGCCACTCCCCCCCTCCCCTCGGGATGCTCAGAACCTATCGAACATCTCCAGGGCTGGAGCTCCAAGGTCCACGCTTCCCGCAACCCGAACGCCTCCTCGGATGCCCCTCGCCGTTCGATGAAAGCCCCTCCGATCCGCCAGTCCGCACGGCGCGGCGCCCGCTCCGGATATCAGCGCCCGGCGAGGCCCAGCGCGCCCCCGCGCTCAACGGGCCTTCGGCACGGGGAGCCAATCGCTGGCCGACAATCGCCGCGGAAAAACACCGCAACCCTTCTCGGGCATCTTTGCTATGCCCGGCGAGCGCACCACCCCCCAGACTCCCCCGACGCGGTGGCGCCCGCCCAAAGCCATTCCTCCTGCGCCCCCTCGCGGCCCCTTGGCAGAAAGCGCGGAGAAAACCAACCTTGTGCAGTCGCGCAAGCGGCTCAGGAGTTGGGAGAACCAATCCCGGAGGCAAGACGGCGAGACGATCTGCAGCCCGGTCCACGGGTCGCCAATCCGCGAGCGCCTCTCTCAGACGCTCGTGCGGCACCGGGGAGGGTCACAAGGCAGCCGAGGACGCCGCTTGCTGAGGGGTATGTTGCAATCCGCTGCTCAGTGTGCATCTGGGAGCGGCAGGTACCGTGAATCAGCTATTAAGGCCTCGGGTGAGACTGAGAGGCCATGGTGCACGGTCTGAACTCTGGAGTGAAGTTGCTCAGGCGGCCCGGCGGGCTTGGCCGCTGTTCAGTAACTGCGTAATCCCGAGCATGAACGGCTGGGACTACCATCTTTTTCCTTCTTTTGCTGGTGGGGGTGGTGGGGGCAGAGTACTGCTCGGCACTACGGACCATATTGCTATCACTCTAACGTTGTTCTTTCCGCTCCAATTGCAGGCATTTTATCTCAAATTTTTATGCTCATTAAAGTGGCATTCCATTCGTTACTAAGTGGGGGTGGTTTGATAGTTGCTTCTTCATTCCTTCTACGTTCTTGTGTATAGCACCCATACATCCTTGAACATGCAACAGCATTAATGTAGCATTTTGCTAGTTTGGGCATGATGCTCAATCTTCCATACAAGTACTATGCACGCCCACAGTGCTATTGCGATGGGGCACGGCACACGCCGATAGGAGTGCATGG